CGGGGATGGGTGAGGGATAAAAGACGATTTAAAAAATTTAAAAACCACAGTCTGATGGTGCAAGAGAGCTCACCTTCCTGGAGCAATCGTGGGGTCCATATCTCATAATACAAGCTATGCTTTCTCTGGACTCCACTCACTTTTACACCTGCTACTATTTACTGTTACTTGTAATTTATGCGTCGTTTAATTCCACCTATTACCATCCCCGCCGGGCAACTCCCGGGACAAGTCCAGCCCTTCGTGCCCGGGGGTGGGGGATTGTTTAAGGCGGTCTTATCTTAGGGGTAGAGGGGTGGGGCAAATAAAAAAAAAAGCTTCTTGCACTTGGTTTATCAAACACAATGGTAAAGCACTGCTTGCTGGACATAAAGAGATTTTTTGTAGGAAAGGCGATAGAGATTGTTTGGGCTTGGCTGGAACAAAGCAATCTTTCTAAAATATATTGAATTAAATTAAAGCCCATATTTAAAGGTAAGTTTATTTAAAACAAATATGAACCAGCAAAAGAGTTATACATTATTTTAGTATAAATCTACTGGCGTTCTATCACGAATGCCGTTCTCTGATTGGCTACGCTACTAATTTTTTATTTATTTTTTTGTAAAAAAAAATACCTCTTAGTCGGCGCGTCGGGTATGTTATGGACGGGTCAATGGATGAGTGAGTGAGTGAGTGAGTGAGTGAGNCAGCCAGTCAAATTTCTTGTTGTAAAGGTAAATGGTATGTGAGAAGATTTGATCCCGATAGAGTTCAGAACGGTCATATTTATTCTTCTACAAAAGAGGAGGAAGTATACATATATTGGGTTTACTTGGACATTTTCTGTGGGTTAGGCTGAGGATTTCAGTTATGAACGAGATGAGCCTTGAGGTTTGAAACAGTTCGTGAGTTAGTAGTATGCAAATGGTACGAGGTATTTTCATTTTTAGTTACAAAGGTAACTAAATACTTTTGTTTTTCACAAGGAGTAAATTCAATTAGAGATCACGAATCGTCGCTTCTAGTTCTTAGGACATGTTTTAGAGGAGACGAAACTATTTAGATTTAAAAGAGTTCTAATGTTTACAATAGTAAGTGCAGGTAACGATTGTTTTGTTCTTGTTGCATGCAAATATAACGAGATGTTTTTGTTTGTTAGTTACAAAGGGTAATTTGACGCTCTTATTTTTTCACAATGGAGTAAATTCAATTAGAGCTGACCAATCGTCACCACTCTTTCCCACGAGATGTTTGTTATCTTTAGTTACAAATGGTAACTTAACACTTTTGTT